TTCCACTTTCTCCTTCTCCCCTTCCATCATCTCCTCCTCCCCTTCCAAGTTCTCCTCCTCCCCTTCCACTTTCTCCTTCTCCCCTTCCAGTTTCTCCTTCCTTTGCCTGATCTTCTGGAGCCATGCCTTGGTTCTTTTCATCCTCCCTTGCCTTGTCAGCATCCTGTTTCAATTTCTGTGCCCTGTTCATGAAGGATCTCCATAATTGTCCAGGCTTGGGCTTGGCCTTGGGCTTAGCCTTCCCTTTTGCCTTGGCCTTGGCTCTTCTTTTGGGAACCACTGGCTGGTCAGCAAGCTTGTGCTCTGCAAGCAGTTTCCTCATCCTATGTTTCTTTTTCTCCTTGAAATCCTTGAGGTCCTGGGCATTGCCATCCTGCTGCCCTAGCTCAGACAAAATCTCAGAAAGGTCTGTGTCATAGTTTGTTTCATCATCTGTCTTTTTCTTTCCTCTGCTCTTCTGCACATGCCCCCTGGCTTTTTCCAAGAACTCCTCTGGAACCACCATGTCAATGAATTGGTGGCGCAGCTTCTCCTTGGATTGGTTGCCCTTTGGTGGCATACCACTGAGGTCCTCAATAAGCTTTCTCAATTGCAGGTGCGACACAACATGGCCAAAGATCATGGCAGATGCTCTCAAATCAAACCTTTGGCCAGTTGGCTTCCACCCAATGGCCCCCCTGCTTCCCTGTGTCAGAAAGGGCTCCACTTCAATTTCGAGCCAGTCCTCCAAGTCGACAATGTGGCTCCAAAAGATATCATCCCTCTGTGGCCTGCAAACATAGGCCCTGCCATGCAGGGAGTCCACCACTTGCAGCAACACCCCCAAGAAGCCATATTCAGCTGCTGCAATGACCTTGATGAGACAACCAGTGGACCTTTGAGCTAGTACAGACCCAGGCCTGGCCAAGAATGAGATCCAGGAAGCATTGGCTGGTAGTCCTTTGTATTTGCTGTCCTTCTGCTCCCAGAAGTGGAAGAGCCAAGCTGAGGAAGATGCTGCTAGGAATAGTGAATGTGGGCCTGGAGTTGCCCAAGTGTGGTTCTTTCCCTTCTTTACCATCAGCTTCTGGATGGACAGGGGCACTTTCTTGGCATAGGACTTCAGGCTGTTCTTCACACACTGCCTTTCAATTTGCCATCCCACTGGGGCCCCATCACTTTTTCCATAGCATCAGCATTGATCATGGGAACCTTTCTCCCCTCCAGCACCTTTGACCTGAGGCAGTTGCTCATGATCGAAACATTGGCGAAGCTGTTTGCTTTGGACTGGCGGAAAAGATCTCGACCATGCTGGTGTATGTTCTCGACTAATCTTGAAT